CGCCATCCCCGCCGCCGCCACCTCCGCCGTCCCCGTCACCAGCGCCCGTGGCGTCGCCGTCCCCGTCACCAGCGCCCGTGGCGTCGCCGTCCCCGTCACCAGCGCCTGTGGCATCTCCCTCCCCATCACCAGCGCCTGTGGCATCTCCCTCCCCATCACCAGCGTCACCAGCGCCTGTGGCATCACCATCCCCTGCCACAGCATCACCGGAGCCAGTGACGTCACCGTCCCCGTCGCCATCATCACCGGAGCCAGTGACATCACCGTCCCCGTCACCAGCACCCGTGGCGTCCCCCTCCCCGTCACCAGAACCCGTGGCGTCCCCCTCCCCGCCATCAGAACCCGTGGCGTCTCCCTCCCCGTCACCAGAACCCGTGGCATCTCCCTCCCCGTCACCTGCGTCACCAGTGCCTGTGGCATCACCGTCTCCTGCCCCAGCATCACCGGAACCAGTGGCGTCTCCCTCCCCATCCCCATCGTCACCAGAACCTGTCGTATCTCCTTCCCCATCCCCATCATCACCACTGCCCCCAAGCCCTGTTCCGCCACGTCCAGATACAATCTACATTGACCACAAAATCCTCGTCCTTACGATCCCGGGTGAGCTGTTGCCTGATGACTGACCCATCAGGTTGTGGCGATACGCTCAGTCTGTATTTCGTGTGCATGCCGGTGGACGCCTGGGCGGCAAGACTTGTACACGCTTGGCGTCGCTGCTTCAAAGCCACAAGCGCGCTCGGGTCGCGTTGACAGCACGCATATCATGCCAGCAGCGGTGGGGGCCAATGCGCGGCTTTGCGGGGCAACGAATGTGCGGCTGCTTATGTCAGGGCACACCAGCTTTGACTGCGGCACGGGTGCGGCAGGCTGCTGCGTTTTGCCTCTTACCCATGCCCCGCCCCCCGACCACAAACTCACCATGACCCATGCACTCTGCTTTGCACATTCCCTCGCCTCGGCGCTCCTGGCTGGCTCCGCCCGAGAACAGGCTTTGGAGAGATTGACTTCCTTGAGGCTGTTTTCAAGGGCTACGGCGTGCCATACGATGTCGTGCGCTGGGACGAGGCTAATGTGGCCCCCCCAAAGCCAGACCTGACCGCCCTCCTGTGGAACCCTGACGGCTCTGCCAGATACTCGTCCTACGTCATGTGAGGGCGCAGCAACGGCGATACACGCTCATTAATGGTTTTTCGTTCGGGACTATTGGCTGCATGTTCACGGCCCCCTCAAGCCTGTTGACCCATCCCCTCCACCTCCTCAGCAAAGGAACATCCCCTCTGGTGCGGCTGGGCACGACTCATCCCTCAGTCAATCGCCAACACCCTCAATTCCAGGCTGTCTCTTGACTGCCGAGATGCGTCCATCACGCTCCCCAAATGCACAGGTTCCCGCACCTAGAGGAGTCCAGCCTGATGACCAAGGCTGAAATCGACATCCTCTGGGACTTTGCGCGCCGCACCGGCGCGCGCAGCCTGCACGTGAACATCTGGCTGGGCACCGTCGGCTACGGCGCCTTTGGGCCCTGCGCCGCCGACGAGGGCTCTGCCTTTTCATTCACGGCGGCGACGCCAGTGGGCGTGTCGGGCATCAACCTGGGGAGTGCCAAGCTCAACTATGCGGGCATCTACAGGTGAGGGCGGGCCGCTCCGCAACGTTGCGTTAACGCTTCAGCACTGTCCGCCAGTGCTGCCTTGTATGATCGAGCTCCGACGTTTGACCGCACCCTACTGAGAATCATCACCAGGTTTGGTTTGGAGCAGATGCTCCTTGCGGGCGGCAGCTGGTCGCACAATTTGGAGCTATCACCCAGCTCTTGAAATGGTCCCACTCCCCAAACACGCACCCTCCCCTATGATCTGCTGTGACGGCGTACAGGTGCCCTGCTACCGGCTTCCCTAGCGGCCAATGCGCCCTCTACAATGTTCCCGCGATCAACGGCGTCGCGGGCACCTCGGGCAGCATCATCACCAACTGCTCGGTGCAGCCCATTGTCATCCAGGACTCAGACGGCGGCGTGGTGGCATCCCTGACAACGTAAGCACGCCTGCCTGCTGCTGGTTTGGCGACAAAGAACACTCACACACCAGTATCGAAACACACACACACACACACACACACACACACACACACACACACACACACACACACACACACACACACACACTTTTTGTACACCAGAGCTCTTTGCATGTTCTTTGCGTCGTGTTCCGCGGTTTTGGCATGAGTTGGCATCACAGCGTGCAGGGCAGCCCGGTGGCTGTGTGCACGCCGTGGCTCGCCCCACCCCCCTCCCCTGCAAGACTGCCCTGGACACCACACGCACCACCGCCCATGCAGGTATGAGGACGGCCGCGAGACGATGTCGTTTATGCACGGCTGCGCGGCATGGAGCTCATCGTGCCTGCTGCTCGGCCACATGGCGCTGGCCTGGCTGACTCAGAACATCATCCCTGGGGAGAGAACCGTCCTGCTGTCCGTCCAGGTGAGTGTTGCACACAGTCCGGGTCTGTGTTTGGAGGCAAGGGCGATGCATGCGTGCAAGTGGTGTCAAAGTCGCGTCGATGTAGCAAAAAGAAGGTCCGAACAAGGGGCAGGTGACAATTTCATCACACAACCTGGGCCGCCGCCACTTGGATCCTGCAACCATACCAGCCCTCACGACAAGTCCGTCTGTGAAACTACAACTCTGGACCCTGGGAGCCTTGGCTCCCACATATTTGTATAAGCCGGCTGCCACTTGCCTACAGCTCCAGTGCAACCTCCACCCGTCACATCCCAGCACGACCCATCTGTCTTCAGCCCCACGCCCACCACCCACCAACCCCCACTTGCCCACCCGCAATCCCCCACACCCCTATCAGACCGATGATGTCTTCCTGTCCACGTTCCAGGACGACACCAACGACTACTTCCGCACCAGCCCCGCAGACCTGAACGCGCACATCGCGTGGCAGGACAGCCTTAGGCCCCCAAACTCGATCCGCGGCATCCGGCTGCCCCCCGGCTCGTCCATCACGTGCGAAGGCTGCTGCATGCGGAGCTGATTGCTCACAACCCGCGGAACGGCATCGAGCTGTTGCAGCCGTCATCATCGCATGTCCATGCGACGTTGTGCATGTCCACTGTAGGCTGTCTTGCGTTGCGACCAACGCAACAGCGCTGCTGCTCTCGGCACACCGGTACCTCACCTGGCCCCGCCCTCCCCTTGATATCTGTTCACAACCTTGTCTATCCTCACCACGGTTGCCCCGCCCAGGATTGATTTCCCCTTCAACGGCAACGGCATCCTGGGGGCCACGGGCAAGGAGCTGGAGGTGGCGGACGGGTCCTGCAGCGCCTCGGACGAGTACGTCGACCTAGGCTGCTCCTGCTTCCTGCTGACGCGCGCGGCCTGCCCCATGTCCCAGCCAGAGTTCTGCAGGAACTGCACCAAGGACTGGGCCAAGCCGGCGGGCTTCGGCACAGACAAGTTTCCTAATGTGAGACCGCTGCGGTGCCCAGCAAATCTAGTGCTGGGGTGGTGGGCTATTGCTCTTGATACAAACAAGCTGATCCGCATGAGCCATGCACGTGTTTTCCAACTGTACACACGCACGTCAAAGACGAGAGCATACCTGCCTGTGCTGTGCCGCCCCCCCGAACTTGCAGCCGCTGCCAGCAAATTACAGCGCCGACAGCTGGCCTGCGCGGATCAGCCAGGACCCATTGGCAGCTGCCGTGCTGGCGGACGCTGGCGGAGTTGCGACCAAGTTCTTCTACAGCCACCACACCGTGAGAGAGCGATCTCTCTTTTCAGGATCACCGCCCCTCTGAAGTGTTGCGCAGCGCGCAGGGAAGCTGGCGCACCCCAAGCATTCCCCCGTGACGCCAAGCCTCGGTGCATGACGTGGCTTCACAACTGCGACACAAGCTATCACACAACTGGTTCACCCCTGCATGCACCAAAATCGACCTCCTGCCTGCACGCGCACCCCACAGTTCACGCACCAGATCCTGGACAACGCCACCCTGTACGACGCCAACCTGCAGCTCTCCCTCAACAAACAGATGGCGGTGAGTTTAGGACGTAGTCGATACACGCCAGCCCGCCCTTGCAAGCAAGCACACATCAACGCATCCCAGCGTCAGCCATGCCAACAGCTGGTAATGGCACGTGACTGATCGGGCCTCTCTGTTTAACCGTTCGGATCGTTACCACGCAACTACCCCTCACGCCCCCCCCCTCCCGGGCAGGACAAGCTGGGCCTGACTCCCAGGACCGCGGTGTTCAGCTCCCAGTGCATGGTCACGCCCGGCATCAGCGGCCTCGTCAACGGCGACGCGCTGCAGGGGCTGTGGCAGAACGGGTTGCAGTGCGCCACGGGCGACAACACGTGGGCGCACCTCAAGAACCCCGACAACGTCCACCAGATGCTCTACACGACGCAGGTACGTGTGCCATGGTCACAAGTCGGGCTGGCCTCTCTGGTGCTCCCTGTGAGGCGGCGGCGGCGGCCCCCTTAAGTTGCACTTTAAACTGCCGCGCGTCAGTGTGTCTGCAGGACTTCCTGAAGGGCCGTCTGTTGCATAGTATCAAATTGCTGCATGCCCCATGTTGTGCCCTCACGGACTGACAATTTGTCGCTCGTTCAATGCCTTGGCCCCTTCCGTAGGCTACCAATGGCTTTGCCAATTTTGCCATCTTGCCGCGCTGGGCTGCAGGTCCGTGAGGGGGGAGGTGGCATGGGGTCCAGCGCATGCTCCGCCCCACATGCGCTGTGTGTGTAAGGCATGGCTTAGCAGCTTTGGGCCTATTGTAATGATCACCCCCAGTGCACAAGGCGCCCCATGTTCTACTTTTACGTGTGCGTGCACCCCCCCCTAGTACACATGGGCACGCGCGCACACGCACGCACCCCCCCCCCCCCACACACACACACACGTGCACACACCCCTTGTAGAGATCTACTTCAATTGCAGCACCGTCGCCCAGAACGAGCGGCTGTACCACGCCATCTACCCCTTCATCGCCGACTACTCCATGGCCGCTATCCTCTCACGGGAGTCCAACCGCGTGCTGGCCAACCTCCTCGCCCTCCGCAAGGACCCGTGAGTCGACGAGAGCCCGCAGATGGCCGCCTTTGGGGGGGGCCTTGCTGAAGCAAAACACCTCGCATAGTTTTTGGCAAGCAAGGACTGCAAAGGCGGCTCCTCTTCAGGATACAAACACCACTGCAAGGGGCAATGAAGCTCAGACCTGTTCCTCGCACGGCAGTGTGAACTCCAAAGCCACCTCCTGCTTGATGCGATCCCACCGACCCACTCCGCAGGCACATGATGCACCAGGCCAACCTCAGGGTAGAGGCGGACGGGTGCGCAGGCCTGGAATGGACAACAGAGCGTGTGTTTCTGCATGCCTTGGGCTCTCTATCTCCTTGCTGTGTTGTTTGTGGTGGTGGAGAGACACATGCCCTGACAGATTGAAGCGAGTGCTGATCACACGCAAACCATGCACCTACACGCAACTCACCTTGCACGCGTGCGGCCGGCGTTCGTCCCCATGTTGTGCAGGATGAGCCTGGTGATGCGCTGGGTGGAGGCGGTCCTGAGGAAGCTGACCGCCTGCGTCACCTGGCCCGTCCAGTCCCTCAAGCTCGACGACCTGCAGCAGCAGTTCAAGCTCAGGGAGCAGCGCGACAACTGCAAGCTCGCCTACAGGCTGGCGGTATCCACGGCGACCAACAAGGTGACGGGCGTCGCCGTCACCAGCCAGCCGGGCGCGACGTCCGGGTGCAGCGCCCCGCTGACGGTCGGCGCCGGGGCCGCCGTGTCGGGCGGCGCCGTCGACGCGACCGATGCGGCCGCGCCGGTGTACCGGGTCGCTCTTGGTGCGGGGGGGACTGCAACTCTCGGCGCCAACCTTGACTGGAAGCCAACGCGGTGATTTTAGAAGCCGAGCCATTGTGAGCATTGCCGGCTGGGCACAACAGCCAATCAGCAGCCCAGGGCGCACTCTATTGCGCCGCCACGTGCGGTGGACGTGGATTGATCCTCTCTGGTTGCGGAGGGGCCCGGCAGACCAGGATATTTGTTGCCTGCCTCACGCCCGGCAACCAGCCATGGACCAGCCGTGGCTATGTTTGTGCTCACGGCACCCCCATTGGAGCCAACGGGCTCATCAATAAAGCCACACAGTGTGCCAGCAGGCCCACACGCATCGCCCACGTGAGTTGCAATCGGCAACATGTTGGGGCCCTGCGGCAATAGCGTGGCCTGCGCAGGGACACCAAGCGCTTCAGGGCCCAACCACTCACGCATCTGACACGCCGTCTTCAAGTCTTGCACGCGCCGTGCGAGATATGCCCTTGCTCCTGAATTGCGGCATGGCAGAACAAACACAATGTTGCAACCTGTTTTGGGAGGGGGGCATGTGTGGATGTTCTGGGTCCGGGGGATCAAGAACGCAGCCCAAGCGGCTTACTGTGGGTGTTGGGCGGGTGCAGCACAGCTGCCTATTTTCGCACTCTCCATCCCTGGACTGGTTTTGGCTTGCACCTCAATAACCAGTTCTCGACCCGTCCAAGTGCGCGGGAGAGACGCAGGCCTGGTGCACACACGCCATCAAGAGCAATTCTGCCCTGCCCGTACCCAGCTGGCCAGCAGCTCGTGCGAGTGGCGGTCTCTGTGCCTATGCATTGGCCTTAAATCCTGCCGTTGCGCAGCCGCGCTGGAGCTTTTGGCTCCCGTGGTTCTGTGTGGCGCCCTGGACAATGAGGTGGTCGCCTGGGTCTGCATCAGGGCTGGCCCCTGGACCCGCACAAGTGCGCTTCACTCTGCCAAATAAAGCTTACAAGTGCGCGCGTACGAGCGCAGGCCCCCTTTGTTAGGGTGGCTTGGCAGGCAGCTGTGCCACGTGCGTGCAAAGCCTTTGCTGAGCACGCATGGCCGGATGCGGCCAGCCCCGGTCGCACTAGGCCTGCACACACTTTCGGTCCAGGGTCATTGTTCGTTCCAAGGTGTGAACGAATTCCGCATACACGCGTTTCCTGCCATTGTCACGTTGCCTGTTGCCTTGTGAGTCGCTCATCACCCATCGGCTGATGATCGCGTAGCAGACGACGCATCGGCGGCCAGTGCGCAAACCAGGCCCGTCACGCTGTCGCAGCACGCTGTGTCGTTGGAGCCACGCGACAGGGGGCACTAGTGTTGTCTTTATCGAGTGTGCACACCCACTCGTTGAGGGCCGCCGCAGAAGATGACATGGCGCGCGCCCCCACCTCCACTCAATTTACAACTCTCTCACTGCGTTTACTTGTGGTGCATCCGGCGCCGCAGCCAATGAAAACTGATGCCATGCTAAAGTGGCCAACGGGCATCGCCAAGCACCACCCGATTCGATGCAAAGCTGATCATTTTGTAGAACCTTTACAAAGGCATCCCTACCCTCCGCGCCTCGCATTGCAGCACCTGTTCCCTCACAACGCAAAGTGTGCCTTGGCTGCGCTTGGCGCACATCACGTACCCACCTTCCCACACAACGCATGCAGTGTCTGGGTGCAAATGGATGTTTAAAGCGCTGCTCTTAATGGCAATTATTGGTGCGAAGTTGGCTGCCGCTGCTTGCTTGCATATGTTACCATCGTGCCCGCGCCGCGCAGTCAAATCAGTTAGCGGACCGGAGGGCGGTTTCCTGGGTGCCGATCTAGCGCTTCACAGAGCAACCACACGGCAGCTTGAGGAGAGATCAATAGTGCAGCCCGGGTGGCGCGCCTGCTGCGGGCCACGACTGCCTGCAATCACATTGGTCGGGCTTGGCGCTGCGGCGGCCGCATGAGTCTCGCAGCAACAGGAAGGCGCAAGGTGGGGGCCGCAACGTAATTTGGGGGGACTGAGCTGTCGAAGGATGCGCAGGTAATTTGGGGGGTCCACAGTGATTGGCAGGGATCCGTTGTCAGAGGGACGAGCTCCTGCAGGGATGCCACCAATTGTGAATGCCGCAGGCGTGCCAATGCAGCAGTGTCCCTGAGCCCCCCATGTGATGTGCGGAAACTGGATTTGAAGACAGTGGGGTCACACGCCAGGAACGTGGTTCGCAGTTGCAAGCGGCAGGCCGCCCCTCCAGCTCCCCCAGCAGAAGCGCGGGCGCCATGTGTCGAGGCGGCAGGTGTTTGGGCAGCCGCGCCCGTGTGGCGGTGGGCGGCGCACAGCAGCGGGCGCAGGGATAAACGCACTCGAAAGTACCTTATGTCGAATGACAGTTTCATGTTTGAATTATTCGCTCGATGCTGCTGAGCTCCACGCGGCAACAAAAAATCACCCGAGGCTGGTCACACGTCCACCCCGCGGTGTGGTTGCGATATATGCAGAGCGTATAGTCGCGTAAAAAACCTGCAAGACACTCACAGCCCTGCTTCGACGGCGGCAGGCGGCGAGGCGCGCTCCCGGCACGCAGCTGGTGTTGCAGTGGCAGCAGCTGTCGAGCGCCGCCCTACAGCGGCGCCAGCGGCAGCGGGGCGGCTTGTGATGGCGGCATCAGAAGAGCACGCCCCATATGGCTACGATGGTGGGTGCGGGCGCCCTAGCATCCCGTGGGGCGCGTTTTTGGGCATTGCTGCACGCGGGGAGCATCGGGCCTCACCCATTATGGCAAGCGTGATGCCGATGGCATCCGGCCGCCCTAGCCATGCCCTCCGCCGCGCCCGCGCCGCGCTGCAGCGGCGAAGCAGCACAGGCGCTCCCTTGCTCAGATCAGAGCGTACGTTTGGGCTTGGCCCTCACTCCGGCCCGCGCGGTTGAGCCGACAGCAATGTGTGACGATTCCCTCCCTTACTCAGCCATGGGCCCCGCGCGCGCGACCACCTGCACCAACACATGCGCCGCGCGCACGCACGCGCAAACATGACACCATGCAGTGCGTGTGCACCTGGTGGCGGGGTCGGGCCTGCTCAGGGCCGACTGGTATGGCAAGGGGGACCCCTATGTGGTCGCTGAGGTCGCCACGCCCTGCGGCGCCAGGCTGCAATACAGGTCAGGGCGGGGGCGGGCTGTGTGTGTGTGTGTGTGTTTGTATGCGTATGTGTGCGTGTGTGCGTGTGTGTGTGTGTGTGTGTGTGTGTGTGACGTTACAGGACGCCGGCCGCACCTGCCCCATGGCCCCTGGCCGCACGGCCGCCGCAGCGCAGCGCGGCCGCCCCGCCTGTGCACGAGGGGTGCGCCCGATGGCGCCGCGGGCCGCGGCGGCGCGCCTGCGCAGCCTCCTCCTCTTCCCGGAGCGCGTACGGCTTGCCCGCGGTCGCTCACAACGCGCGTGCACCGCCGCTCGTCCCCCCTCCCCTTCTTCATGACAAGCCCCCCCTCACACAAATCTCGCCTCTCAAAGGACCCGCACCATCTGGCGGGACCTGGACCCGACATGGGACGAATGGTTCCAGGTGCGCAACCACATCATCACCACCACCACCACTGCCCCTACTTCCAACCCCCATCAGCCCTCAAGCAGCATGAGCCGGCGACCAGCACCGCCGCCTGCGCATGCCGAGACCGCGGAGCGAGGGGCGAGCGCCCGTTCGGAACTGCAGCCGGCCGGCCGGCTGCGGCCTCGCGTCCTGTCCCCCGGCAAGCAGTGCTGTCTTGAGCCCTGGGAGGCTTCATTCTGTAGACCTGGTTGATTTACTTGAACAATCTACGCGCACCTGTTGGTGCGATGTGCTGCCCTGAGTCACACACACATGCACACATACGCACACACGCATGCACACAAACAGCCCTCCCAGCTGCGCTCAGCATCCAAACAGCTGCGTTCAAACGTTCAAAACACCGGTCGCCAGGTGGACAACGTTGACCCGGGCACCGTGGTGACGCTGTCGGTGTGGGACAAGGACACCTGCAGCACCGATGATCTGATGGGCTCTGTGGCCTGGGTGGGTGACGCCCAGTGACACCCGGTGACTCATGCGGTGACGTATGCGGCGGGGATGCGCAGGTCCGGCCGCCAGGGTCTGCCGCAAGGGCCGCGCCGCCCGCAGTGACAAGCGTTCAGGGGCCGCACTCGCGATCAGCTCGGACCTCGCCCCCTCCCCCTTTCCACCCCCTTTCCACCCCCAAATGGGGGATCCGCCGACGCGCCCCTGCACTTGACGACGACACCACGCAGAGGTTTGACCCGCTCAGCGACGACAGCAGCGGGTATCAGCAGTCGCAGCGCGCGCACAAGGCGTCCAGCAAGAGGCAGCAGCTGCTCGCGGCCCTGGGCGGCGCCACGGCCGCGCTCGGCGGCGCCGCCGCCGCCGTCATGCGCGCGCCCGCCGGAGCGCAGCCCGGCGACGCCGCTGTCGTGCCGGCGGCCGCCGCCGCCGCCGCGGCGCGAGAGGGCGCGTTCTGTCCCTTCCCGCAGCAGCAGGTCGCCGGCCAACCTGGCGTGACCGAGGTCACCCTGCGGCTGGAGCACCCGACCCGGCGCGGGGCAGCTGCCGGGAAGCTGCACCTGCAGGTCGCGTCGCGGCCGAGCGCGGCGCCGGGCGCGCCGCGCATGCAGGGGCCTGTGAGGTGTCGCCAGAATCTATCCCTGCTGGCTGGCATGGTGCTGGGGAAGTGGGGGGAGTCGCAGGTGAGCTGGCGGGTGGGTGGTGGGGCGGTGGGGCGGCCCCTGCGCTGTCGGCGGGGCTGGGGGTGGTATGAGTCCATGTGATTGTGTATGTGTGTATATGTGTG